AATTTATTTATAAATATTAATATATTTATATTTAATATATAATATAGTATATAATATATTTAATATATAATTTATTTAATATATAATATAATATGTAATATTATTATTATTTAAGTAATAGGCTATTGAAGCACCCCGACCTAAAAGATCTATTGTGCGCCTAAAGGCCCAACTAGGACAATTTTAGACTATTTATAAATCTTGTAATTGCTGTGGGCTTAATTTTACCCATTTGACTTGGGACTAATACCCGGTTCCAAGGTGATTGAGTCTACCGCTGGGCAGTTGCATAAAACATGTTCTGATGTTTCCTTCTCCTAATATATTTAATATATAATACAATATATAATATATTTATATATAAAAATTTAAATCTTTTCATTAATAAAATATTTAAATGTTAATTGGTTATAAAAAATTGATAGAATTTATAGTTTTTTTTTAAATTAATGATCAAAGATTAATCATAAGAACTAATTAATTTATAATAAAAAATGGATAATTTTATCCACTAAAACACATGCGTGCAAAATATAACACTGCGTGTTTAATTGCTTAATTAAGTTAAATTTATATCAATCATGACTTTATAAAATTCACTTACGCATAATAATTAACTTAACTCATACAAATTACCAGCTAAGAAAAAATAAGTAAAAAAGAAAATACTGAAAACAAAGAATAAAAAAGTGCTAGCTAACTGCAATAAAAACTCAAAATAAAATATGTGTAAAAAATGTCTATATAAACATTTTCAATATTAAAAACTACGAACTAACTTAGTGCTCCACTTAGTTACTAAAAAAAATAAAAAAAAGTTAAAATTATTAGCTAAGAGCAACAAAAAAAGCAAAAAATAAATAAATAAAATATAACAAAGAATAAAAAAATACTAGATTACTGCAATATAAACTCAAAATAAGAAAATAATGTAGAAAACCTAAATACATATAAATGTTTTTAATGCTAAAGAGTGCTAGCTAACTACACTAAAAAATATTTAGCCTTCAACTGAGTTAAAAAAAAAGTAAACAAAATTGTAATTCAAATAATCACATATAGTATAGAACAAAGAATAAAAAAGTGCTAGTTTACTGCAATAAAAATACATAATATATGTGAAAAAAAGTATTTGTAAATAATTTTTGTATAAATATTTCCAATCCTAAAAAGTGCTATCTAATTACACTAAAAATTTTGCAGCACAAAAGATCAATCTGGTCGCAGTGCTTCGCACCGTTTGGAGCTAGTACCCCGTTCATTTCTATTCTATTCTTTTTTTTATTCTAAAAATACTTAGTACTAACATATTCTAGAGAATCCAGTTTAATGTGATATCCAAATAAAAAGAAAATATTTATGTTTAAAAGAAAGTTAATAAGTAGAATTTTTAAAAGCATTATAAGCTTAATAAATGTTAAAAAGTGCTAGCTAACTGTACTAAAATTAAACTTAGATTCTAATTACATTATATTTAATATATTTTAAAGAAAATATTTATGTTTAAAAGAAAGTTAATAAGAAGAATTTTTAAAAGCATTATAAGCTTAATAAATGTTAAAAAGTGCTAGCTAACTACACTAAAATTATACTTAGATTTTAATTGCATTTTATTTAATATATTTTAAAGAAGCTTGATTAATATAATGTTCAAATAGATATCAAATGTTAATTTTATAAAGAAAGTTAATGAGAAGGATTTGTAAAAGCATGTATTAAAATGTAATTCGATGACAATAGTAATACTTGATAATTCTCAGAAATCGTGTATGTAAGGACATAGTATAGGTTTTAACATGAAACACGCGTCTATGTAAATTTTATATATGTATAAATATGCGTTTGTTTTTAAAGTAGATTGAAAAGAATATCTGTAAAGTTGAAAATCATGACAAGTAAATGTTGATACATGATGAAGATTATATATACTTTATATGAAGTTACATTATGTAAAGGATTTGGTAGTTGTTTTGCTTCGCAAATTTTTAAAGTAAAATAATAAAAAGTAAAAATAAATAATTAAACATTACTAAATACAGATAGTTACTTTTTATAGATGTAAATACATGCTAGAACTGAGAGAGTTAAATTCTTGCTGGGTGACTTTTAATGCGTTTAAACAAATTTATTTTTTAGAAACACAAATTATAATATTTTGAAACTATTTTGTGGAATTATATATATTATCAAAAGTTATAGTTATTTACTACTAGCAGATAGTACAAAATTATTATTATTATATTATTAAGGTTATTTTAAAACTAATTAGTTTAACTACAACTATTAATAAATTGTAATTTTGAACGAGCAATTAATTTTTTTTGTTAGAGCTCAATAAGTGGAAGGTAAGAAACTATTGCAAGCCATAGATCTACTAGACCAGTGTACCCAACTTCACTAATAGAAAAAAAAACAACTTTTTGATTAAAAGACCAATTATTTTTGTTTTTATATTGAAAAATGTTATAATTAAACCACATTAAATAAATGAGTTCAACAAACGTTGTAAGTCGAAAGCTAATTTTACATTTTAATTTTAATTTTAATTTAATTTATTTTTATTTTTTGTATGAACAAATTTTGGCAGAGTATCTGAATTTTTGATGACAGGTAGACAGACGCCGGCAATTGTATGAAAAATTGTTGTGGCAAATTAGAATTGCGGATGTATGCGCCAATTAAAATTGGATCACGAAACCGTAAATATTTATTACACATAATTTTTATATGTAGAAATATATCATACGAAAATCAATTCATACTATACGAAAGTAAATTAATGGGTTAATAAAAATTTTTTTAATTAATTTATTTTTTTACGCGGTAAACATAAAAGTTATAAGTTATATATAAATTGTAGAGTTAGGAGTTGCAAATCTCGAAAATATATCCAAGAAAAGTTTTGAACATTAATAAATAAAAACGATGTAAAGGACACAAGAAAAAATGAGGTAGAGGTGAAAAATGATTTTTCATAGCATAATATAATACTTCCTACTCCCTACTCTTAACTAATACTTTTCGAAGTCGAGTCTTGAGAAATTAACATGTAGAGAATTCATATTATCTAATCTCATCACTATTATCCAATCAAAAGAAATTTAAGAAGTTAAATCGAAAAACATTGTGAGATTTATGAATACTTTTACGCCTTGTTTATTGGAATCAGGATAAACGATTGACTCTCAGATGAAGTCTATTGTAAAAAATTTAATCAGAATAATTTTATGAGATTTTACAACAGTTCTAATACCTGTTTATAGAGAACAATTCAGTATAAAAATTCCACGTTGAAATATATTAATTACATTCTTAATAGAATTGCTCATGAAGGACAGCCTGATCCGATGTATCCTATTTTTGTCAATTTCTTGCTTTTTTTAAGTTGCTTAAAATTATTTCTGTTAGTCATTATTATATTAGAAGCATTCTTTGTGGATAGTCGAAGAAAAACTTGTACAATATGTTATATTAATATCATTCTAGGCTTTAATAGTCCTTGAAGGATTAAAGCCTAACACATTATATCTTTCTTATATGAAATTGTTTTTTGAATTATTCAGACCTATTCTTTATGAATCATCACTATATAACTGTTATTTCTGGGTAATCAGCAGAAAACTTGTACAATGTAGTATATTAATGTTATCCTTAGTATAATTGCCCTTAGAACACCAAAAAGTATTCTTTTCTTTTGTCAATTTTTTGCTTTTTTTCTGGGTATCTAAGCCTATTCACCATCACATAGTCTTTAAAAGGCCTCAGCCAATAGCATGTTAGATTCGAATTCTTATCAACTTTTTTTCCAGTTAATGACGGCCATTTCAGACAAGCCTTTCAGATTCCTTACAGGACGTAAACCTGTCGTATAATATTAACCTATTCTTATAAACTTATAAAAGCCTTTAAGACTACTTAAAGGACTTAAGCCTATTGTATAATAGTCTCATATTTCTGTATATTTTTCTTTTGAGTTGCTGAAGCTATTTCCGGCAAGTCTTCATGCTTAATGTAAGTGTCTTTAAAAGGCCGAAGCCTTTAAGAGTCCTTAAAGAACCTAAACCTATCGTATAATAGTCTCCTATTTTCGTATATTTTTTTTCTAGTTAATGACACCTATTTCCGATAAGCCTTTAAGAGTCCTTAAAGAACGTAAACCTATCGTATAATAGTCTCCTATTCCTATTTACTTTTTTTTCTACTTAATGACGCCCATTTCCGACAAGCCTTTAAGAGTCCTTAAAGGACCTAAGTCTGTCTTATAATAGTCTTCTATTCTTGTCTATTTTTCTTTTGAATTGCTGAAGATCCAAGCCTTTAAGAGTCCTTAAAGGACTAAGCTTACTACATGACAGCCTCACATTCTTGTCAATTTTTCTTTTTGGTTGCTGATGCCTATTCTTCATATAATATGTCATTGATTATTCTAACATAACCTTATAATAATAATCATAAAATATTAAATTAATATTAAAAAAAAATATTTTTTATTTATTACTAAAATGATTTTAGTGACACTAGAAATGTTTTTCCATTTTTCACAGAGGTTTCAACGCTTTGAAAAACTAATTTTTTAAAACTGTCAACTGCAAATTTTCACATATCTAGGATTTTGAGATATTAATAAATATTTTGTAATATTTTGCGTAATTTTTGCATATCGAAAATAAATTATTTCCACCAATATATCAAAATATTTTATAATAAAAAATTATGAATAAATATTGAATTTTTTATGGAATGTCATAAATAATTATTTTATGTCATTTTTTGTTTTTATCTTATCATTTTTAAAGTATTAATATTAGAATGCACTTATTGGGTATAAATAATGTGATTATGATGAATTAATTGCTGTATTTCATGTTAGTCACAAGAGTAACAAGTAACGAGTGTTAGTTTTGTCACAATTTTGGGATCTTTTAGATATTAATGAAAAATATTTTAATTGCACTCTTCTTATATAAAAATTCAAAAAATATTTTCAAATATTAACTGACTTTGTTTGAAGCAAATAATATCGAGGAACTTCATGACTGCTACAGTTTATTTGATAAAAATTCTAGTAAAAATTTTATGCAAATTAGCGTAAATTTAGGTGGCAAGAAATGGGTTTTAGAATCAACTCAAAATACACGATAACGAATACCCGAAATATATTTCATTCGATACTTAGCAAGGATTAAATAATTATAGCACTTAAAACGCGCAATAAAATAAAATAATTTCCGTGTTTTTGCATGTAAAGCGACATTTGTACTAATTGATTTGATTTAAAATTATTTAAATAGTATAAAAAATGTTAATGTTTAATATATTTAATGTATTTTATTTAAATAAATTTTTTAAAACTTCCAATTGTTTATACTTGTACGGGCGAGTGTATGACAAAAATTTGTAAGCAAATAAAAGTTATAGGGTAGCACGTTTTTGCGTTCGCGTATCTCAAACCACAAAATCAGAAATTCAACTGAAGTTATCGATTCATTGTAATCAAACATTTTAAATAAAATTTGTTTAAAATTTTCATACCCAAGTAAATACTATATAGCCTCATGGATATAATAAAAACAAAATGCCATTTTCGTGGGGAGAGAGAGGTGCGCGGCTGTTGAAAAGGGTGTGAATTATATTGTTGAAATTGAGCTTTATTTTTTTCGGTTGGAGTTTTGTTGCTTTTTGTGCTGTTGAACCTACTGCGAATGTGAAATGCATGAGTGCGGAGATACAAAACACAACAGTAACGACAATGTGATGTGTAAAAAAATTAATAAATAGTAGAAATTAGTGGCAGTAGAAAGAATGGCAAACAGTTTCGAATGTGCAAATTACGGTTCCATAAATTGTTATTACCGATTTTTACCGACTTTGATTTTGTTATTTAGAGAAACTGAAACTGAACTGGCATGTGAAACTGAATTGACTGTATCTGAGCAGCGCTCAGATACTGTATCTGACGACGCTATTCATAACTGAACAATATTTTGTTTCATTTTTATTTACTATAAGTTTAAAAACAAAAACTACGAGAGTCAAAAATAATAAAAACAATTTTTATTGTTGTTATTTTAGCCAATTAACATATATTTGGCACTCTTTTCATCTTTAAATGATTTTACTGTTGAGTTGGAGTAGAGTTTCTATGCCAACAAATTGCGAAGTCAAATGATCAAAATGGCATAATTTGTTTATATTAATTAAATACTTTTAATTAACAATATTATAAGTCAATTTACACGTCTAAACTTAAGTCTTACTATGACTTTGCTTATATGAGAATTGACTTTAAAGTTACTAAAACTCATTGATGATTTTAATCTTATTTAGTGATCGAAGCGGTTTGTTTTATTATTAAAGCCATAAAATTTGTAGGGAATTTGACATAAAAATTTGTGCAGGAAATAAAAAAAAAAAAATAACAGTAAGAGACATCACGTACAATGGAAATTTTCAGTCAATTGTTAACAGCCTAGCAAGAACTATAGATATGACATTTCGAAACATTAAAGGAATATTGGTAAGATGGTTGTATGCACCGTTAACGAACTTAGCAACAGGGAATATATTGCAACTCATCAAAAACTATACACTTCCTTGAAATTGGTATGTAAAAAAATGAATTAATACTTTATGTAAATATATTAAATAATTCTCTATTACAATTATATTTTTTAATTATTATATAAAATCAAAAATTGCATTTATAATATTGCTTAGACTGATGAAGTGATAAATAATAATCCAGAGGGGTTTTGAAAATACCTCGAGTTAAGAAAGAGTAAAGGTGCTCAAGTGCACTAGCTCAAATAGCTACAACATAATAATAATTATTTTAATTAACAATATTCATATATAAAATATTATTAAATACCAACATACTAAATAATGAAATGCAATGAAATTGTAGTACCAAAAATAATAATTTGACTTTTATAAACAATAACAATACAAAAACCAAAAACCTCATTTAAAGTTGATTAACATTTAAAGTTTTAATATTTAAAGGGATTTTTGAATAGCAAAGAAAGAAATAAAGGACAAACACAAAAATCTATTTTAATTTTATTGAAGTTTGGCTGATCATACAACGCTGTTTCGAGTATTGTCAAGTACTCTTCATCAGTGGTCTTTGGAATAATCGAATTTTTATTTAATTAGTTTATAGTCCGTATATAATTTCTTTGGACTGCAAGTGCCAGGCTTAGAACTCGTGCCTGGTAAATTAGAAGCGATGACTAATCGTGTTTATATTATGATATAATAAAGGCTAAACTGACTCAATCACCAATATACTTTTATTAACTTATACTCAGTTATTATATTAATAAAATAAAAACTGTCAAATTCGGGTTGTACTGTTTTTGAACTCGGAGATACAATTACATATACTTGATACATATACTTGAACTTAATATTAAAATGAAATAAATTATTATTAAAGTTACATTAGGTCAGCCTCAAACAAACTCTATGCATTAAGCAGAGAGAATGAGAATGTTGAAGTTCTAACGGGGTTCTTGAATAGCATACTGCAGGTTGAGATATCATCAAAACTAATACTTCAAAATATTTGAGAATTACGATATCCATCCAATACGATCCAACAATCCATTCAAAGCAGTTTTGAATAGACTTCTTGTTCTAAGCAGAGAAAATACTAAAATTTCTCTCCTCGAGAGAATGACAAGGTTCTCTAATATGACACTAACAGGATCCATTAGCATCACAACTAGTGCTGCAATGTGTTCCAGTATTACAATACCCTTGTAATGCGATTCATAAATTCATATAAAATACGGAGATTCCCTACATACATAAACAGAAAGATAATTAAAATTCTCATGAGGTTATTTAACACGACACTGCAGATTAAGGTACCATCAGAACTAGTGTTTTAAAATATTTGAGTATTATGATATTCATCTATACGATTCATAAATCTATTCAATGTAGTCTCGAATACAGTCTTTGCATAGAGCAGAAAGATTATTAAAATTCTGAGGGGGTTTCCCACAGCTCATTGTAGGTTGAGTAGGTTTCAAGTAGTGCTTTAATGTGTTCGAGTATTAACAATACTTCAAACATATTAAATTTGTGAAAATCTTTGGGTTGTCCATATAACAAATCTGATTTGTATTTAAATTTATTTTCTTTTTTTGTTTTATGTAAACTCGTATAAAAGCAAATTCTTAAATGTGATGCTCGAGCCGAATGTCTCTCATCTAATACTTCTTCTTCATTATTTAAAAGTCCAATCATAAAAAACTAAAAACATTTTCTGTGAATATCTGAACTGAGCTGCAACCGTCCAATTCAGAACTTGAAGAGATTTGTTGCCTGATATAATATATGAAATAAAATAAATCGATTCAATATACTCATGTTCATAAGCATATGGATTATTAAAGTATTTGGGATTATTAAAATAGACCACCTGTGTCGTACTTTATAGTGTTTCTTACATAATAATATTAATAATAGCAGTTAATGCTTCGTCTGTCTATTATCTTCACCTACTATTATCTATTAACTCTATAACTACATTAATAAGTTTTTATTCTAGTAAGAAGAATACAGTAAAACGTATGTCTGGATGTCATATATCATTTATTACTTATAATACAGATATTTTATATGATTTTACATTGCTATTGCTATTAATTAGTATTAAGACATGATTAAATACTTAATAAATTTGGTTTTAAATAGAAAATTCAAAAGAGAATAATAAAATACGAAATAATAATAAAAATAGTAAAAAATATATAAAAGTTATGAAAATAAAATATTAATTGTTTTAAGTACAATTAACCTAATTATTTGTAACACATTTCCATTTGTCATAAACTATATTAGTTCAAGGTTGAAACAATATCTGTTGAGCTTTGAATAATTACTTAAAGTCTCACTTTACGAGTAGTTTCTTTTTTTTTTTTAATATGAAAAATTTCACAATAAAATTAACCAAAGAAAGAGAACGGCTTAAAGGTCAAGTGCAACAGTTGTAAAATATTTTTACAACACATTTTCATTAAGTACAGATAAGTGCACTCTATGAAATGCAATACTTAAATTTAATAATAAAAAGTTGCAACAAATAGTAACAACAAAGAAAATATAAATAAAACAAATTAACATTAAATGCATATTAAAGTAATTAATGAAATGAAGTCAATAAAAATATTAATTGTGTAATAAAAGAAATTAATTTGCAATTGCAATTAAATTTAATTACTTATTTCATGAAACGTCTCTTTATAAATTAATTAAATTTCAAAACATTTAACAGTAATTAATCAACTAAGTAAATATTGCAAGTTGTAATCAAAATATATATATATCAACTTGACAATTAAATATACTATAAAATAAAATCTGATTATAATACATAATATAGTCAAAAATAAAAGTTCGGTTGGTCTATAAAGAGACATTCATCATCAACAACACAGAATTGAGATTGATGGTAGGTTGAGATCCCTGGGAGGACGTAACAATCTCAGCGCTATCACTTACCAAGATAAATCTATATGAATATTATTTCTGCCAGAAAAGAAACATTGAGACTTCTACTAATATCCATTACTTTGAAGCATTCAGCAGTCACTTGCGTGAGAAGAATGTTGGATTTGATTTTGAATAGAACTGATATTACAGTTGAAAACATTGTCATATTCTTCCTAATACGACATCACAATTTGAGCTTTCAATTCAACAAGATGGATCTGTATAAATATATTCTCTGCCTAGAAGAAAACGATGAGTCTTCTACAAATATTCCTTACAACCTTGTAGCATCGATTTGAGCAAGGTGTAGAATGTAAGTTTGGATTGTTTACGATCCTTACTTGAATGGATTTCTTCGATTTGAATGGAAAACTACTTCATATAATTGAGATAGAGCTATTTGGAAAAAAGAACCCGAACTTTCGAAAATTGTTCAATAGTGATAAATTGTTCAACGAGGTCAACGCAACTATGCTTACTGTTTCGCAGTATAGTGTTACGGCGACACATAACATTATTGTAATAACAGAAGCACTTTATGTTCCAAACTTGCAAATCTGTAACTTTCATTTATTTCCCAAAATCAAGAAGACATTTAAACGCTTGTTAACAATAGATAAGATAGAAATAATGGAGCGAGTTCAAGTTCAACGTGTTTTAACAATAGATGAGTTTTCGTATAGGCGAAATTTCAGAACGA